GTGCTTTAGAGTTCAAAAAAAAATTTGTTAAAAAAAAGAAGAAATAATGTGACATGTTATTTCCTTATCAAAGAGAAAGAATGTTTTTATTGTGTCAAATATATTTTGAGGAAAATAAAAATAGTTGAGTGGTATTGTAGTCCTAAAATAAATAAAAGTGATATTACTATGCAATTTCCCAAAGTGACTATTCAAATTCAAGTAATTTAAGTATCTTTCGAATTAAGTAATACGACTTGCATTCTAATCACATATCAATTCATGCTAAATCATCATGTGTGATCCTGTTCCAGATTTAAATAAGCATAAACTAACATAAAGAATGATTTTTTTCATAATCAAATCAAATGTTAATCCAACAAACAACCTAACATCAAGCTAAACGATCTCGGAATATCGAAAATGACATTGTCCACGACCTAAAGTCAAATTTTAATATTATCTGTATTATGTAGTTTACCCGTATAATTCAGTTGAGAGTATTACTTAGTACCGAGCAGATATAGGGATGTAGGCTCACCTGTCAATAAGGACTGAGACCTTTAGTAGCAATTCCTAAGTCTTAGAACTACGTGCCAACGTAGGTTTTAAGGGTCACCCATCAGACCAAGACTAACACCTTAGTCCTTTTTGGACATCAACTTATTAGTGGATCCACGTTAGACAGTGTCCATAACCCTACAAAGTACATAACACCCTTCAAGCTTGGGTACAAGTTGGACTTCATTTAGCTCAGAATGAATATGTCGGTTAATAGTATCTCCCACAATTCAGTCTCAAATATTTGATGACCTTATATTTCAGTTTACTCAGTACAATGTTGATTAGTTACATGCTTATTACTTGATCATTGCATCCGCTCATTTATTTAAGTTTATATTCAGTTTAGCATCTTAGATTTATCATATTGAGCTGAGAAAAGACATAAAGTTACCACTGAAGTTGTCCCGAATTTTCAAAAAGACACTTAAACTTTGCGAAGGTCCTATTACCCCATTATTCTTATTTATAATGAATTTATTGTCCCATTATGAGCCTAGGTGGCAGGAGAGTGTGGTTCAATCTCCATTTGGGGCGTGAGTCAAGCCAAAAAATAAATAAATATTTATTTTAATATTTATTTAATTAGAAATATTATTTTCTTTTAGTTACTTCTATTTTTTTAATTTTAACTTTCTTAATTCATTCTTTTCCATTAACTTCTTCACCCAAATTCAACAACCCATTAACCTTTTCTTTATCTTCTTCAACTTAGAAGATCCATTTACTTAATCCATTTTTATCACTTTTTTTCTTATCTCTTGCTTTTCTTTGTTTCTTTAACTTCGTTTATCCTCTTTTTTTATAAAAATAAAATAAATTTGAACTCCATTATTCGATTGATTAGAGAGTACTATAAAACTCCATTTTTATTTTTATCTTTGGTTTGAATATAAAACTTCATTACCTTGCTTTAGTGATGATTTAATGGCGAAAATAGTGCTATAACAGGGAAGCATCATGGAGTACGTCGAAGGCGGCAATGGCTGCTACTTTAGAGGAATAAAGGTTGAAGAAGAAAGAAGATTCAAATTGAAAAAGAAAAATGGAGATTTTTTGGTTGCTACTTTAGGTTCATTTTCAATTGAAAATGAAAGAGGATTTAAAATTTTCACGCTTCCTCTCTTCATTTGGGGCGTGTAGAGGAATGAAGGTTGAAGAAGAAAAATTGAAAATGAAAATTAAACTAAAAATTTAAAAAAATTAATACGTGGCAAACAACAATTGGTGTGTGATTGCACTTCTTTTCTTGCAATTGAGGTTGGGTGAAAAGTGAGATATTTATAACACTCTTAAATTGTTTAATGGGGTAATAGGACACCCACAAAGTTAAAGTGTCTTTTTGAAAATTCGAGACAACTTCAGTAGTGACTTTATGTCTTTTCTCTATTGAGCTTGTTAGATTATTGTGTCTATCTCAAATACTCAGTACATTCAAAGTACTGAGCCCACACTCTTTTGCAGTGTTTGAAAGGGGGGGGGGGGGGCGTGAGGCGAGACGTTTTATACACTATGTGGCCAGACGTGAGCCCCGAGACACGAGGGGGGGGGGAGGGCGGAGGGGGGGGGCATAAGTCTTATGGATCTATGGGGTGTAGGCTCATGTATATTCAATTTTATAATTTTATTACTAAGAAAATAAGCAAAGGTAAAACTTTCAATTATTTTACAAATAAATTTTAAAAAAATAACCTATAATATATATAAAAAAAATAATATGATTTTTATTTGAGAAAGCTATTTATAACCAATAATGAAGAAAAAAAAGTATTACAATTACTATTTGAGAAATATCATTACACTAATAATAAAAAATATGATTTAAGGCAAAAAGGTACAAAAAAAATAAAAAAAATAACGCCCAGGGCGTATGTTTTTACGCCCAGGACTTGAGTTTTTAAGCTTGGAGCTTACGCCCAAATTCTAGGACTTACACTTATGGATCTACATCTTCAATTTGCGCCTCAGAGCGTTTTTGGTACGTCCCGCTCCGAGACTCGCTCCAAAAACGTTTTTGAAAATATTCCTCTTTTGCGCTATATTGTTTTATAATATAGGTTTAGACTCTCAGTATCCAACTCATGGTTAGTACAATTCCGTATCATCTCAACAACAAAGCTTGGTGAGTCCTCATCTTTCGATGACAAGAGCTATTGTTATTTCTTTATTTTGATCTTTCAGTTTCAGATAATTAGAGTTAGTTGGGGGCTTGTCCTAGCAACTCATCTTAGTAGAGGCTATCAGACAATCAGACAGTAGTTTCATCTTTATGGTTTGTTCAACAAATTCTATTTTGACTGTTTACTTATTTTTGGATTTATCTCGGTTTAACTTCCACATCAGTTATCTTCAGTTATTGTTTATATGAATCCTAGTGTCATGCCAGACCATGGATTGGATTGGGGTCACTTGTGGTTCTAAGCATTGTGTTACGACTAGAGTTAGTCTCGGGTCGTCAACTATAGTTAGAGCAATGTATGGTAAATATAGATTATAATTGATGGAGATTAATAAGAGTATCTTCTTGTTAACTATTTTTGCACATACATCAATTTATTACAACTAATACATGACTTGAGCTTTTATCTTATCATTAAGAAAATTTTGGGGTCTTGTGCACAATGTGTAATTGGCGAAGTTGTAAAATCAAACACTAATGGCCTTTATTTGCAGCTTATTGGCAAATGAGGTTATGTAGGAACTTCATTATAAGAAAATATTTTAGTCAATACCTCTGATATGCTTTCATTTGGCTGGAGTATTAAGTTTGACAACATTCTTAACATGAGAATGCTAATACTTTTATGATCTATCTATATATACATTTGTCCTGCTTTAGTCTTCTAAAGTTGAGCCACACAATGAGGTATATCTTTCTATAAAGAATCATCTTTAGTGGTTCATACAAGAAAATACAATGAAGCATATCTTGATCCATTTGTAGTAGTGACAAGCAAGGGAGAGACAATGAGTGAATACCTTAACCATCGTTTTAGAAGTAGCACTTTACTAGCCTGAAGACTCAAAGCGAGGTCGAAATTAATCCCTTCTTTTAACACTGATTAAGTAACGACTCAACAAGCAAGGGCACATTGCACGGTAGTAGTCAGTTCAAGCTAAGAAAGTCAAACTAAGACAGGAAACTTCCCATTTTTTTCACTTCTAAGTAAGACCTTGTCCTCTTCCCTTTGGACATCAAGATAATTGATGAAGGTAATGCTTTGAACATTTTTTGCCCAGCTATATAGCTAGGTGTACTCTGCCATGTTGAGACTCACTATCAAAAGTTAGATACCGGTTTTCATAAGAGGGTTGATCACTCCGTCAGGCATCATGCAATAGAGCAATGTTCATCTAACTAAACTGAGATTTTCTGTTTTAGAACATTTATTGTAGTAGCTGTGAGGATTTGTCCCTCATGAGTTACTGTATAACTCGAGCACCTCCGACAGTGTGTAGTACACAAAGATATTGGCATCTGAGTGCTGGTGTTGAGTAAAGTTGGAGTCTTTATCACACTTATTTGATTTATGGGTCATGAGCATGCATTTCATCTGAATGTTGTACCTGTTCAGACTTTATTTGTTGTATTTTAACTTATGAGTTTGCAATTTGTATGCTTTTGAGTTTGCCTAACGAGTTGGGATTATGTGCCATCGCAACTTGGGCAAATTGGATCATGATAGACTCCCTCCAGATTGGCGCTACGCAACTTGAATATGATTAAGCACCTAGGAATGATAAAGAGATATCGCAGGATCATATGTTTTGACAGGGTTCAGGCAGTGAAACTGATAATTAGACTGATGCATTGCAAATTGAAGGTTGATTTTTCATATGGTTGTTCAACTAGTAGTCATTATCTCAAAAGATCACTTTCTTCAACAAGAAAGGTGGCTTTCTGAGATAATAACTAATGGAAGATAGTTCATCATATATGGATGGCTATTGCGTGCAGAGAATGCTTATTATGGATTTGGTTCTTACAAGTAATATACCCAATTGTCTAACTAGGATCAAAAGGCGCAAATTCATTGAAATTTTGTGTGATTCTACAAAACGAGCTCAATCTTTGTTACAGTTCACGGAAGTTACTCTATTCTAAATCCTAGTTCACGCCCATATAAGGGTAACATATTCCCTTGAAGAGGTATGTTAAATATCTCATAAACTCCTAGAATATTCACAAAGAGATCAAGACATCAAATACTGACTTTCTCAAAGTCTGCCCTATGATCAAATATATCTCAAAGAGGTCCAAATTATCCTTATATTCGAGAACTACGCTACTAACCATCCTTGAATCACATAGTTAATTCAGAGAGAAGAATCAAGAGAGGAACAAAATTATACTCTCAAATACTCATCAATCAATAAAATCTCTATTTCATCATCATCATTTTATTTGTAATTGAAGTTTATTTTCCATCACTTTAAAATTTGTTGTTAACACTTACTGGTTCAACTACAAGGGGATTTCATTTACTTATGAGATAGCCGGAAACATTCCTTGTAATGTAGTTCGATAAACAAATTGCAAGAGGATATATAGACAATTCTGTTTGATTCAACAAGACTGTATGATTGCCAGCTTTATTGAGCAGTTCTAAATGTCCAGCACCTGAAATGAATCAGCCACCACTTTAAGTTTGTTACGGAATTTTCTCCATCGCCTTTCATTTGCTCCCACAATTAGTGTGTAGTGTCTCCCTGTACAAAATGTCTTAATACAAATGCAGAAAAATGTGATGTAAAGCTATAGTAGACGAACCAGATCACTTACCATTTGCAATTGCTATGGTAGCAAATGCTGCCCGCGAAAAATTTGGAGATGTCAACACATATTCAAAGGTGAAATAGTTTTTCCCATCCGTAGTTCTCTACATTATTTTGAAAAAAAATATCGTGACTAGCTAATTGAAAAAGAGCTACGTCTATGAACAATCAAGAGCATGAGAAAGGATCATACCTCCTTCATTTCCATTATATTTGCCACCTGATTCGGTGCAGAGTAAACGTGTTTTACCAGATCGGGTACAACCTTTAGGAAAGTAGAAAATAAGTTGGTATGACGAAGAAAATTCATGTCTTTTTTATATTTTTCTCCTCCTCGATTGCTAAATAAACGTCTACATAGATGAATAGTACCACGATTTACCTCTTCCATTGGCCCCAAATCATGGATATCTGATTTATCAGTTGGTATAAAACTAAGTCGCACATTTTGCAGTTGTAGATATCTATCTTTAAATGCAGAATCATGACCTCTGAAATCAAATTCCTGTTCTAACAAACAAGTGTACGCACGTATGTTCGTACATACTTCAAAGTTAAATACGAGTACTAGTTTCAAAAAACTCAATTCTTAAAAAAAGCGGCATACCCTCCAATCTGATGGATAATAATATGAATAGCCATCTCGTTTGTCAACAAAGATTTCATAGTTCTCCGGTACTCCTGCAAACACGTCATTTGATAATGAAGTAACAAGATTAGAGAATAAAACTTATAGTAACAGAGTACCTTGAGCTAAAAGGGGAGTAGCGGGTAATAAACTCAACGAAAGAGCCCCTGCTCCCAATAGAAATGGCCTTCTCATCAAACATCCTGAAACAGAGATACTAGTAGAATTTACAACGAAGAAAGTGGCGTAAATGCAAACATGACTTCATAATTGATCGATATGAAATTTTCTTACTCTGTTGATTAGGGGACGTGTTTTCTGATGCCGAACATGTGGTAATGTTGTGTAAGCCATGCCTATTCAAATTGTTGGCTGCTGCTGATGGAAGCCCAAGACTCAATGAGAGTGAAGTAGCTGCCATTTTTGTGGACAAAAATCACTATATTTTTGCTGAACATGTTTATTTTTTCTCCTAATACAATCACTTTTCTTTTGTATCATTTTTTCTTGCTCAATAGGATAAGATGCAAATTAAATGAGAGGATGACCTTTCCTGCCAAGGTTCAAATGGGCTTTTATGTCTCTTTCAAAAATCAAATGGGCTGTGCAGCCTGTGCTTCATATGTGGGGCTAAAATTTGGCCATATTTTGTAGCTTGAATAGAGGGGTGCCCACAATGATAATTTTTTCTAGTTGTTCTTGCAAAATTTCCACAAGTTTACCATGTCATAAAATATCTATATGAGAGAAAAGCACAAACTTATCCTCAATGAATGAGGCGGACCTAATGTACTGGTATCAAGTTTATCTGAACTCAGTACTTTCAACGCGAAACATAAATTTATGTGTAAAAATTCATTAAAATTGCAATAAATAGTAGATATGAACCTATAACTTAAAAATATAATGGGTTGATCAATGCTAAAAACCTTTATAATTGACCTCGAAGAATTTAAATTCTAGATCCGCCTCTGTAGTAAGATTAAGATAATGATACCTTAATAGCTCGACCATATGAAATATGATATCCATGTAATGTGGAAAAACCAAGCACAGGTTCCTTTGCATCCCCAAACATATGCAGTTATAGTTAGTGGAAGTGATGAAACTTTCAATCACTGTAGCACAAGCTTATTTGAAAGGAAACCCAATTGGCGTTGCATCAACACGATCAATTTACATCCTAGCGTGGAGGTATTCATCAACTGTGTAAATGCAATGCCAAATATAATTGAAGAATGACCAAAGGGTACCAAGGGTGGAGTATACCATGTTAATGTGCCTTGGATGATCCACATCTCAGGACTCAGGGTCAAGCGCCGATGAGCATATTGAACTGGAATGAACCACACAAATAGAGGTGATCTATGAATAGTCATTCCAGGCAGGATCCTGATGCATATATATAGATACAAATGGTCCAATGGGAGCTAGACTCTGCCAAAACTCTCTCAATATTTCTACCTATAAGCAGATGGAGGAGAGGTATTTAGTAGCTATATGCTAAATTTTAATAAATAATTTCCACAAATACCTGATTAATTCTTGTGTCCTATCCTCTGAGTAAAACATGTATAGATATATATAGAGTAGCTGAAAAACATAAAAACATGTACTCTATGATTTTGACACACGGGGAAATAAACACATCCAAAAAGTGCATTTGGTTCAGTCTACGTAACACTTAAAATCCACTAATACTAAGTTCCTAAATGAGAATTGCGCAAAGTTCATCCAATAGGTTGGACACAGTTACCCATTATAGGAGATGAGATCTGAATATGACGTCATACCACTCGTACAAATCAAACTCCACAAAAGCATATTCTAGTCAGAACTATCCTAGCTCCCAGTCCCATGTAAGCAGACTCCATTAGGTGCGTGGCATCTTTAGTAATTTGCAGTATCCCCTTAATTAGCCAGCTTAGGCATTTAGAGTCTGCCAAAAACAAATAGCAGCTATGAATCATGCATAAGAAGAGAGGAGGCAAATAATTTACCTTAAATGAGTTGTTTATATAGTAAAGAATCAAGCAGGTATAAAGATTATCGAGATAATATCTCAGTGGTCACTCAACTATGGACTGTTTTCCGAGAAAGTCACTTAATTTTGATTTTTAACTTAAAAATCACTCAACTATGGACCGTTTTCACAAAAAGTTACTCAACTTTAATTTTTAATTCAAAAAGAGCTCACAGTTGAGTGATATTTGAATTAAAAATCAAAGTTGAGTGACTTTCTGTTAAAAGAACTCATAGTTGAGTGATATTATCTCGCCAGCTTCACTTCCCCAATGGAAAGACAGAAGCCTGAATTATGAAATCTACAAAAAAAGAAGTTCAACAAACAAGAAAGATCGAGCCCTCCTCTATTGGGAAATGAATAAATTTGCAATTAGGATCACCCTTTTGAAGCATATAAGATTGCAATAGTCATCTGTAACAAACAGAGAAAGAAAGGTTCTTCTTCATAACATAAAAAGGCTTAGCTAGATATACAAATAAAGTTACAAAAGACATGATAAACAAGTGTAAACACCATTCTGTTTTAGCATAAGGAAAGCAAATCAGTTACTTTGGAGAAAAAAGCTCCTTCATGTTTGCAACTTCAGTTGCGAAGAACATGGACATAAGAAACTGTTTTCACTGGTGTTTCTACACTTCTTCTGATTGAAATTTGTCAAGTTTTAATAGAAGTCTTCAGTCTGAAAATTATGTGACATTTGTGATCTGTTATCATGCTTTCATTGTGCTTAATCTATCAGGGGAAGCATAAGAAAATTGAAATTTGGGAGACATAAGGGAACAATTTACAAATAATTGAGTAAGTGTCCTAAAGTGCATAGGGATGGGTAGTCACTATGTTGACCAAATAATTCCTACTCATCACTTAGCTGACATTACAACCCATAAAGTCCTTTTGATCCTATATTTTTATTGCTTTTGTTAATATAGTTTTACACTAAGTATATCGTCTGATATGCATGTGTGAGAGTAAGTAATATTGTTGAGTTTATATGCCCTGAAAATTGTGATATCGTATGAATGTATGAAGGGACATCTCTCTTGAAAAGTGAGGGCACATAGATGGTGAAATATTCAATCCTCTGCGTGATGATATAATTGTATTTTCCCTATTTATTATGTTGAGAGCAGGTTATAGAGTATACACCGTCTTGATGAATTGTCTTGTTTTGAATTGCTAAACATACTTTGTATTGAGAATCGCCGCCTTGTTTAAAGTATCTTGGTGATCTAGGTAGGAGTTAACCTCGTTGATTTGTGTAGTGAGGTGGGTGTTATGTTTTGAGTGTCTAGATAGTTGTTCGAGGACAAACAAAGGTTAAAAAGTGTGGGGGTGATGATGTTGGGCGTATTAACACTCATTTTGGTTGTACTTTTCCATGTTTATACTTTGTTTAAAGGATAATCTAGTTTAATACTCTTGAGTTATGATCATTTCGATACTTTAGAGATTATGTAGTGTGTGTGTGTGTACGTTATAGGTGAAATACCCAAGAATTTGACCAATTATGAACCAAAAAGAAAGAAACCTTGCAAAGCCAAGCTCCAGTAGTCGCCGAGCAAATCTAAAGCTAAGGGTGGAGGTCAGATTTCACCCCCTTATGAAGTGTTACACCCTGCATAAGGCAAACCAAGGCAATCAAAAGTGGTTTACAGTACGAAGGCCAAAACAAAGGCCACTGCCTCGCGTCGCGAGGTGTCAGAGATATGGGTAAAGTTTTACTCTTTCTGATTCTCCGGTGCTTAGGAAGAGTAACAATTTATATTTGACTAAATTATTTTAGAAGAACTTTTGTTAGTAGTCTCTGTTTGATCAATAATTTCAAGAAGTGTTTTTATGTATCTAGTTATTATAGAAAAGGAAGTTAATGGTAATTTAATTTGGGAAGCATGAATTTTTGGTAATATAGTCTTAGAAAAAATCAAAAATACTTCTTTTTTGGAGAAGCTACTTTGTTTATTCAACTTAAAAGTTGAAAAAAAATTCTACTAGTTTTTAAAAACACTTGTTTCTACACACAAAAAAAACAAGTCAAACACCTTGACTCTTTAAAATAAATGTGTTTTTTTAAAATAAGGCAAAAATTGACCTTTGAGAAGCTTGATCAAACATGTGTTAAACACAAGATTTAACTAAAAGGAGAGAAAATAAACAAACATATGTTAGACGGGTAGGGACACGTTCACTGCTTGTGCTTCTCAAGTACATTATTATATATTTTATGTTTCTGCTAACAAATGGAGGTGCATTGTGTTGTATGGGCACTTATAGATATTAAAAGTATATTTTCTTAAGATGATCTCAACTTCACCTTTTTATTTATTTATAGGAACATATAGAAAACAAAGATGACAAAAACACATCTGATGACATGCCGGACAAGAAAGCCATTCGTTCAACAAAGATTCTAATACAAATGGTCAAAGATAGATCATGCTCATTCAATCTTGGTGAAAGGTTAATGAAATCAACAGCTATGAAGAGTCTCGAAATGATTCACCACTGCTGCGAGGAAATAAAAGCTTATTTCCGTTAAGAAAAAGCTCTAAGGTACAGAGTACCTGACATGGCTTTCTCATATACAACCGATGATAGTCAGAAATTTGTTGTTGCTCCACTGAAAAGTTATAGAGGCAAACCATTAAAAAGATTCGTCATCACCATATTCTTAAGAGAAATAGACCACCTCATTTAACTATACTTTGTTTGGTAAGAAATGCAGTTGCTGGATAGCTTGGAGATGTTTGAATTATAGTTGGTATTTGTGTTTTGATAAGGGGCTCACAGTTCATTATTGAGAACATTTCTAATTCGCAAATAAACAAAGTTGCAAATGGAGTGCTGGACCATTTGCACTATGAAAACAATCCGTATATAAAATATGAGAAGCGATGGCTTTCGTGGACCTATTTATATGCAAATTAGGAATTCTTCCCTTAGGACCATTCATCTCCCTTTTCACCTTCTTCGCAAATAGTACTAGAATAAACAAAAAAGTTTTTCAAACATTAGCTTCTTTCAAGAATGGCTCATCATACCCTTTGTTCTTCTTCCTCCTGCTCCAAAGTTCAAATTTTATGTCATAGCTGCAACATTGAGGCTCTGCATCAAGCAAAATTATGGTCCTAAGGGAGATGAATGGTCCTAAGGGAAAAATTCACGATTTGCATATAAATAGGTCCACATAGTTTCTCAAATTTTACTTACGGATCATTTTCATAGTGTAAATAGTCCAACACTCCTCTTGTAAGTTTGTTAATTTGCGAATCAGAATTGTCATCAACAATGAACTATGAGACACTTACCAAAACACAAATATCAACTCTAATCCAAATCTCTAGGCTATCTGGTAGTTGCATCTCTTTCCAAACAAAGGACAGTAAAATGAGGCGGTCTATTGCGCTTAAGAATATGGTGTTGACGAATCTTTTTTAATGGTTTGCTGCCACACCTTTTCAGTGGAGCCACAATAGATTCATGACC